TAACTCGATGGAGGATTGTCAAGGTGCCGGGTCCAGAATGGGATGTTTTGGATGTCCATGGTCATCACCCATGGACTTCTACACCTGCCCATCTTCACTTCACTGGACCTGGAGTCTGGTTTGCAGTCAACTTCCTCATCGTCATGGCCCCAAGTGCCTCAATTCCTCTCAATTCCCCAGGCCCATAGACCCTGCGGCCTGAACTCCATGCAGTTGTTCTTCACCCAGGCCCTCCCAAACCTGCAGAAGTTGTTCCATTGAGTGAAATAGGAAAAAAGGCCCTAGAGCAAACCAGAAATCCTACTTGTTAGTGATGAAGCAGGGGAGGAAAAAGCGAGGGAAAAGGTGAATTGTTCATATTGATATTTTATTCAGAAACAGTGGCTGTCATTTGTGGGACACTTAAGCTGACTGGTCACTAATCCCCACGCGCCTCTTTTACTCTTCTACATGCCGGGTACAAAGAAGCACACAAAGGCAGGGGTTGCACCCTGCACCTCAAACCAGAGCCCAGGCATCTAATGAGACTAATGAAGGGCAGTGGGAGACTGCGCATTTGTAACACGAGCAAAAGAGGCAGCTTATACTTTACACCTCGTTGCCAATTTACAAACGTGGGTGAAATATAAAGGACTTGTCCTTTCCAAGTAAAGAGTGAAGGGAAACATCAGCAAATTAAATTCCCGTGCTCATTATTTTTTTGTTTTGTTCGTTTTAAGAACTATTGTAGTCTCAGAATCATTGGCTCTTATTCTCAAGGGAGGACACAAACGTTGAGACAGATGCCAGTTTGGTGACTCCAACAGTAAACAGTTCCTACAATTCTTTAGTCAGGTCTCCAAATTCAGGATCTCCATCCCCTAGACAATTCAAGTTTTAACAGCTAAATGTTCGTTCATTCATTTTTTTTTTCTTTAACTTCTGTGAATTGGTCTTCGTACCTATGTTTATATTAACTTTGGGGGAAATTTCATTTTATATTTTACTTATGTGTGTGTGGAGAGCAAATATACCACAACAGACTTGCTGAGGCCAGAGGACACCTTGGTGAGGGTGGTTCTTTCCTTACACTTTTCTGTGGGTTCTGGGGTTAGAAATTAGGCCATCAGGCTTTTGCAGCAAGCATCTTTACACTGAACCATCCTGCTGGCCCAATTTATGGAGGTTTTAAAATATATTCGTGTGTGTGTGTGTGTGTGTGTGTGTGTGTGTGTGTGTGTGTGTGTGTGTGTACTTACATGCATGCAGGTACCCACAGACTGTCAAACACCCCAGAGCTGGAGTTAGCCTGAAGTTGTGAGCCACCTGACACAGTTGCTAGGACTCACATGTGTGGTAGCACCTACCTTTAATCTCAGCACTCAGGAGGCAGAGCTAGATGGGTCTCTGAGTTCACGGCCAGCCCAGTCTACATAGTGAGTTCCAGGACAGCCAGAGCTACATAGAAAGAATCTGTCTAGGAAAAACAAAAACAACAGAAAAGATTTATTAAAAGATTGTTTATGTGTATGGTATTTTGCCTGCATCTACGTCTGTGTAACACACGTTTGCAGTGCCCATGGAACTCAGAAGGTGTCAGATCCTCAGGAACTAGAATTATAGTTATGAGCCACCACGAGGGCTGGGAACTGAACCTGGGTCCTGTGAAACAGGAGCAAGTGCTTGTAATACACTGAACCATCTCCCAAGCCTCATTTTTAATAATTTATTTTTAAAAATTGTACTTGGGTGTGTCTGTGCATAGCAGGAATGTGGAGTCTAGAAATGGAACTGGGGTCATCAGACTCGGCAGCAAGCATCCTTACCAGTTGACCCATCTTACTGGCCCCATGAACTTTTTGAGCTCTTACTATGTGGCTGGTACCCTTTACATTTATCTTTCACTGTGCTTCTATTGCATAGGCAAGTTATATAAAATCTCAAAAGTGACACTTTAATAGAGTTGAGCGAAGCCCATGTATGTCTACATCAAAGCACTCATTAATAACTTGCAGTTCTCTTTATTCCTTGGATTAATTCACTTGATTAGGTTAACTGCCCACATTGGCTAGCACTGATGTTATACACCAGGCAACTAGATAAGATGGCTGGAGGGAGCCATATTTTCAGATGTGGGAATGTCACTACACTTTGCTGAAGTGACTATCTAGGGCATCCTTTTAACTTCCATAAACCTAAGTGGGACTGGAAATGTAACAAGAGCAGAGCATTTGCCTAAAGAAGCCTGGATTCAATGCCATTTGAGACTTGGTGCGTTCAGTTGTTCACATCTACTTCCTAGGATTTTTTTTTCCCTCTTAGAATTCCCTTATTCAGCACCTTCACATGCCAGACTCTTGCCACTTTCTGTTTCGATTTGAGGCTACTTCACATGAATTCATACCTACTACTGAAACCTGGTCACAGCAGGGGAGATCATGTGAAGGCCTAGACCTGACTTTACAGGCTCCATCTTAGGGAAAGGGCCACCATCTCAGACCACCTGCTGTACTCAGTTCCAGGAACAACCTCAGGAATGTGCCATGGCAACTTGAACAGATACAGGGAAGTAAAGTTTAACAAGATTCAGATACTCCTGCAGACATCCTGTCTGCAATTTATGGCCCTTGACGATATCTAGATAATCCTATTGAGCAGCCCAGATAATCCTGCTCAGCAAGTTGTGGTTCCCCGCCAAAAAGTCTAATCCAATGGTTTCAAAATGTGGTTTTGCACCCAAAGTCTAGACCAATAGTTTCAAAAAATCACCTTGCCCCGTATCCCTTCTACCCAATCCCAAGCATGTAATTCCCGGCTTGTGGTTTTTCCCTATAAAAACTCTCTACACCTGGGCTCATGGCCGCCACATTTCCATCATCTGCTGTGCAGTGGCCCAGGTTGAATCCTTAGGTGCTTGCATCGGAAACTGGCTCCTTGGTGGTCTCTGGGGGTTTCATGAAAGGAGTACAACAGTCACAGGCCCAAGAATCTGTTACTGCTGTCTTACAAAATGGTCCTGTTGTCAAAACATTGTATACATGTATGAAATTCTCAAGGAATAAACAATATATTTTAAAATAAACTTTAAAAGTTGGTAACAAGGGCTTAGTGCATAAGAGCATTTGCTGCCTTCCCAGAGGAAATTCAATTCCCAATACCCACAGGGCAGCTCACAATTGACTCAACTACAGTTCAAAGGGCTTCAACACCCTCTTCTGGCCCCAAGCATTGCATCAAACGATGCACAGACATACCCAAAGATTTCTGTCTTCAATCCCAACACCTGGGAGACAGGAAGGGTGGGTATGCCAGCAGGGACAGTATAGTGAGACCTTGGGGTTTTTTTGTTTTTGTTTTTGTTTTTTTAAGACTTATTTACTCATGTATTTTATGTATGAGTTCTCTGTCTTCACATCAAAAGAGAGAATCTGATCCCATTACAGATAGTAGTGAACCACCACATGGTTGCTGGGAATTGAACTCAGGACATCTAGAACACTCAAGTGCTCTAACCACTGATCCATCCCTCCTTCTTCCCAGAGTCTGTCTTTAAAAAAAAATGCATTCTCATTGTGGTGTTTTGAATGAGAATAGCACCATAGAGCTTATATATTTGAATGTTTGGTTGCCAACTGGTAGACTATTTAGGAAGGATTAGGCAGTTTTGGAGATGTCTCATTGAGGTCAGGCTTTGAGGTTTCAATAGCCCATGACATTTAAATTAGCTCAATTCCACTGCCTCCTGCCTGTAGATCAGGATAAAAGGTCTCAGCTACTGTTCTAACACCATGTCTGGTCTGCCTACAGCCACATTCCCCACCATGATGATCGTGGACTCACCCTCTGAAACCGTAAGCAAGCCTCTAATTAAATGCTTCCTTCTCTAAATTAGTTGCCTTGGTCATGGTGTCTCTTCAGTGATTGAACTCTAACCAAGACATTCATTTATAAGGTTTGGACATTCTACCCTTTTCATTCAACACACTCTTCCATGGCTCCCTACAAGTCTTTCTATCATGTGCACAGGAATCAAGCTTGCTTACCTATTTTGCTCCAGGTCAAGAGTTCTATGTCCATCAGCTAGTTTTGGCCAACAGAAAAAAAAAAGCTAAGAACAAATTTGAAAAGCTGAGAAATGAACAAGAGAAAATGCTGATGGGGCAGGGACGTTTGGGCAGGAGAAAGGAAATTGTGTGTTGGGGGGGCGGGGGAGGTGACTGGTAATCCATTGTGTCAAAATTATCTTAAGTCTACCAATTACTTTCTTTGGAATCCTTTGTATCAGCTGGAGCTAACAATACTGAATCACTAGGGATAACATAGGCAGAGCTTCCAAGAAAACCCTGTGGTCTGGGAATCAGCCATAACACACCCTGAGACATTAACTTGCTGTGAGACCCTAAGATCTTCAATCTCTTTGCACTTCAGCGAATCTGTAATAGCCCAGCTCTCTTGCAGAACTATGGTGAAAAGCAAGCTTGAATGCATATATAAGAGTGTGCATGCAGTAAATGAAAACAAATGAGTCAAGTGTCCAGCTAAGATTTCTTCTCTCCCTCCCCAAAGACCAAAGACTTAATAGAAACTCACACTGTCATTATACCAACTAAATGTCTACTTGAATAGACAAGTTACTTCAAGAACTATTTTGGCATTCTTTTAAAATTTGCTTTACCTACCAAAACATTCTTAGTAATCATAAATTGTTTGCTTGTATTTTATGTCCTGAAGCATCCCAGCTGGATCAACACTCACTCCAGGTGCTAGAGACCTGGTTCTGTGGTTAAAAACATTGGCTGCTCTTGCAGAGAGCAGGATTTTGATTCTCAGCACCCATGTGGTGGCCCAAAAGTATCTATAAGTCCAGTTTCAGAGATCTGATGTCTCTGCTGGTCTCTATGGAGATTCACTTCTTATGAGTGAGTCTCACAGAGGAATTTGCTGCAGGCAGGAAGGTGAGGAATTCCAAGTTGCCCACTGCTTCCGGCCAGAGCCACTAGGCTCGGTTCAAAACAAGAGTCTAAGAGCGTTGAACACACCTTTATTCAGGTAGAAGTACAAAAGCATGTTTCTAACCCAAATGCATACATGTGATTTTTACAGATTCTGCTACTTAGGGATAAATCAATCCTCTGCCTCAGTCACCACAGGTGACTATTGGTCTCTATAAGTAAGAGTATACAAGTTTGATAGGGACAAAAAAAAAACATGCATTTTTCATTTGCTTTTACATTTAAATCAATTTGATATATGTCGATTTTCTTGCCTTGATGACATCAACACTACGCTTGCTGATGGCAAAGAAGTAAAATACAGTGGTAAGACTATCCTAGAGGTTAGCCACAAGGTTTACAGAGTGAGCAATTTATTTTAGATATTGGTTGAGGATCCTAGTGAACATTACAACATCTGAACTATGGAAGCCTCAACTGCTTGATTGACAACTAGAATTTTAAATAATACTTTTCTTATTCATAAAATGTTATGAATTTTAAGATGAAAAAAATGCTTTGACACCATGTAAAGAATCATGAACTCTATGTAGTATAGGGCAGGGACCCTGAACTCAACACCTGTGATCACTTCTATAAATCAAAACAGCCATGATCTTTTATATGGCCTATAGATTCTATTAAAATACAAAAATAAAATCCAGGCACAGGAGCGCATGCCTATAATCCCAGCTACTTGGGAGGCAGGAAGATTTCGTGAACCCAGGAAATCAAGGCCAGCCTGGGCAACAAAGTAAGACTGCATCTCAACACAAAGTATGGCAATGCACAAACGATTATGCACAAAGCCCTATGCTTCAAAATACTACCCTGGGTTGATGAAGGGAGTGGAGGGAGACAGATAAAGAAGCAATCCTAGTGGTTACAAGTTTACCAGGAACAGACCTGCCACTCTCTTGAAATACTATCTAGATACAGCACTAAGAACAGCAACATCCTTATTGGAAGGCTGTATTTTCTTACAAAGTTCTCTGATTTGTGTGTTCTTTGTTTCCCTATCAAAAGCAGACCTGAGCATTTTGTTGGCCTTCAATACAGGCATATAAAAGATTTCTAAACGTACACATACATGCAAAGTAGGCACTGAATGAATGTAGCTAGACCACCAGGAGTCTTACTGGCTCCCTGATGTCCTTGTCATCTCTTTTAGAGGGCTGTGGATGCAAACAAGGCAGATGAAAACTCGAGCATTACTTGCAAGTGTTTGGGTGCCTGCCACAAACTCGGGAAGACTGAATCCTCCAAACGTGGATGGCTGATGTGGAAATACAACTCTTGAAAGGAAGCTTCACCACAGGAGAGAAGATCCCACAGAAGAGCAGTGTCAGCTAGTGAGAAGCTTACAACCAGGACATCATTTAAAGACGCCTGTGAGAATGTAGAAATCAACAGGAAGCCAAGGGTGTGGCTATGGAAACAACAGCATGTGGGGTCCTCAGAAAAGAATAGGCCCAAGTCTCCACTGCTTGACATTCAGGACAGTAACAGAGAAAGCTCACGGGGCTACTGTCAGAAGCTCTGTCAACACTGGTACAAAGACAGCATCCTAGGCAAGCTGTGAATACGAATCACTTTCAAAGAAAAAATGTTTTAATGTGTATAGGCCAAACTAAAATAAACTCACTTAAATGTGTTCTATAAATAAAATACTCGTACCTTCTTAGAATACTTTTTTAAGGATGCTGTGAGAAAATGCATTCACCAATTGCCTTCTGGATTCAGTTATTCTACACTGAAAAGACTGGGACTAAATAAGAATAATTACACACAGAAGTAACCATTTTCTCTCCAATACTTTGATACCGGATAAGGCCTGAAACAGAGTGCTAAGTTTCACTGTTTGCATTCTATCAGTCTCATCTGGTACAGATGTTCTGATCTGACCATTTCATCATATCCAGATTCTCACCTGGTACATTCTGATGATACATGGACCCCTGCTCACAGATTTGCCACATTTACCACACCCAAATGACCTCTTGGACATAAGATTCTTTGATGTGAGCAAGCACTGGGATATGACTGAGTTTCCTCACATACACCCCTACCTTCACAGGCTTTCTGCATGGCACAAACGTGACACTGAACCAACAAGGTAGTTGACAGATGGCTTTTTCACATTTGAGAGTGGAATTTTACTCCAGTACAAATTTTCCAACTGTGACTAAGGTATGAAAATAAGCTGAAGAATGTACCACGTTCTGTGTATCCTAGCACTGATTTACAGGAGCCAATGAAGAATTTAACACCAAAATACTTCCTAATACTCATCTCATTCAGCGGGTTTCTCTCTGGTATGATTTTTCTGATGCTGTCCAAGGGCCGAACTGACTGACGACGTTAACAGTTATTACACGTCTGACTTCTGCGGTCAGTTCTCACATACTGAATGAGGCCTGAACTTGACTAAATGTCTCCCCAAGTTCATTGCATTCATAAGGTTTCTCTTTGGTATGGACCCTTTCATGTTGGATGAGGTGCGCTCTCTGATTGAAGCTCTCTTCCCATGCATCACAGTCAAAGACTCTCTCTCTAATGGGAACTTCTTGTTGCAGAGTAAGATCAGAGTTGTGACTAAAACTTTCCTCATAATCGTTGTAGTCATATGATTTCTCTTTCCTGTGCATTTTGTGGTGCTGAATAAGGCAAGAGGTTTGGCTGAAAGCTTTCCCACACTCATTACATTCATGCAGTTTCTCTCCCGTGTGAATTCTTTGATGCTGAATAAGATGGGAATTCAATCTGAAGTCTTTCCCACATTCAGTACACGTGTAGGGCTTTTCTTGGAAACGGATTCCTTGCTGTTTCACATAGGCCAGCCCACATTCATCATACTCGTAGGACTTCTCTTGATGATGTACCCTCTGATGTTCAACTAGATATGAGGTGTGGCAGAAGTCACTGCCACACACGGTACATTTACAGGCCATGTCCTTGTGAGTTCTCTGATGCTGAGTAAGGTGCACGCTTCGGCTGAAGACTCTTTCACAGCTGCCACACTTGTAAGACTTGCCTTTGGCATGAACCTTCTTATGCTGAAGCACATCTGAGCTCTGGCTACATGACTTCTCAGGTGCTTCACAGGATTTATCGGACACTTCACATTTGTAGGATTTCTCTCTAGTGTGTATTCTCTTATGTCGACTAAGACTTGAGCTCTGACTGAAAGATTTCTCACATTCCTTACATTTGTAGGGTTTTTCTCTTGTGTGAATTCTCTGATGTCTAGTAAGAGCAGAGGCCTGATGGAAGGTTTTCCCACATGTATCACATTTATAGGATCTGTCAGTGGTAGGCATGTTCTCCCACTTATTAAGGTGGGACAGATCCATTAAGCTTTCTTTATAGTCACTACTCTGAAAATTCTGTGTTAGATTTATGGGTTCTTGTTCACCAATAGCGGGGCTCTGGTTGAAGTTCATGTCATACTTACTGTCATCAATGGTCTGGATTCGAAGAACTCTCTGATCTGCATCAAGTGTTGAGTCTAGACTGAAGCTTTTTTCAGGTTCGCTGTTCTTCTCACTGGTGAAGTTTTTCTTGCTGATTGTTATTTGTCTAAACTCTCTCTCCAGAAAGAGAAATTTTCTTAGAATCTCCTGGAGCCTTTCTAATCTGTCCTCAGATTTATATACCTCTCTGGTCTCAGGAACTTGGGCAATATTCTGTTTGAATTTTCCTACTCTCACTTTGTATGAATGTACTTCTTCCGAAATTTTCCGCTTAGGGATCAACAGCTTGTTTTCTTCTCTGGTCTCTCCATCTAATACAATATATAAATAGAAAATACAAATGTAATCTATACCCTGTAATAAATAAATAAAAATAGGAGGAAACTAAATAATGTAGTATCCTCAAATATAAGCAAATTTTATTTACTTCAAAAACCAAGCACAAAATTTCAACAGCAGATGTAAGGGCCAAGAACAACAGGAACAAGGTGGGACAGAAATGGATCAAAGGATGATACAAACAGGCTATTTCAGCAAAGTAAAATAACAGGCAGTAAGACATTTCAAAGAACAAATATAAAAATGGGTTAAAAATGTCCTGTAACTTAAACTGGGACCTAGCATACTAGTATGAAAGGAATTAAAATGTAGAGATAGCAAAGCTTTGTTGAGTATGTGTTGAGTATGAGCTCAGCCAGAACTTGGCTAAACACTTGTACTAAACACTTATACTTTACATCTCCACTGATTCATCTGACAGGTTCTGCCTTACTCACCTGAACAGTCATCTCTTATGACTTCTTTATTCTTAGTTTCCAGATCAAAGACCTGTAGATCCTGTTCCCGCTGGGAGAGCCCATCAGGCTTGGAAATTGGAAATCCTGCTCACAGAGAAGGAAATGGAATATGGCAACTTATCCCCAGATGCTACACTGCCCTCTTTCCTTTCTAGTTACAGTTAATACAGAAGATAAGTTCTGAGAAGACATTTGTCAGGAAGACCTAGAGAATGAAGAGGACAATGTCCTCTAAGGAGTTCAGATTTGTGCTCTGGTAAAGGGTATGCCAATGGGAGAGTTTGTAACTTGGAAGCTGCAACTTACATTTAAATATAATTTAGGGAATTCGTGCATGGGTGTATATCTGTCTTCACAGAAGTTATCATTAGCATTCCTGTTGGTGTTAGACCTGGTCTACAAGTACCAAATTGTATCCTCAAAATATAATCCAACACCTGCTACACAGTTAATTAAGGTATAGCAGCAAATCAGTAATAAATAAATATAGCAAAAACCAGTAAGACAGACAAGTTCAATGAAGAACACCAAAACAGGAATCATTTCTGATTATCTTCAGCACAATAGGGTAACAACTGAAACAATTTACAATATAATTCTAATTCATAAGACTTTAAAATCCCCAACATATTACTTCAAGGGATAGACAGATGGCAGAGTGGTTAAAGGCACTTAACTACTCTTCCAGGGACAAGTTTAGTTTCCAGCATCCACATGGCAGCTCACACTGGCTATAACTTGAGCTCCAGGGAAGCTGAAACCCTCTTCTGGCCTCCCTGGGTACCTGCACTCATGCACATACCCACATTCAGACACATACATATAATTTAAGTTAAAGGACAGCCAGGGCTGCATAAGGAGACATTGTCTCCAAAGACAGAGAGAGAGAGAGTGGCAGCTGTAAAAGAGTCTTCATGCACCTTACTCAGCATCAGAGAATTCACAGGGACATGGCCTGTAAATGTACCGTGTGTGGCAGTGACTTCTGCCACACCTCATATCTAGTTGAACATCAGAGGGTACATCATCAAGAGATGATGGCTGTCCTGGAGCTCTCTTTGTGGACCAGGCTGGCCTCGAACTCACAGAGATCCACCAGCCTCTGCCTCCTGAGTGCTGGAATTAAAGGCGTGAGCCGCCATCGCCTGCTTTTTTTAAAGGATTCTTTCCAAGCAGTTATGAAGTAGAACCTAATTGTTCAGAAAGTAACATTCTCGGGATTTCTAACCTAAGTGATGAGACAGAAAAATATTTTCTAGTTATTATGTGTAAAATGTTACTATTTTTCTGATGACCATTCTCATACAACTGCCTTTCATGTCAAATATCTACTGTGTCCAAATGTATTTGATTTAAATCATCATTCTAAATAAATACGACAGATGATTCTTTTTTTTTTTCGTTTTTCGAGACAGGGTTTCTCTGTGTAGCTTTGCGCCTTTCCTGGAACTCACTTGGTAGCCCAGGCTGGCCTCGAACTCACAGAGATCCGCCTGGCTCTGCCTCCCGAGTGCTGGGATTAAAGGCGTGCGCCACCACCGCCCGGCAGATGATTCTTAAAAAAAGAAAAAAGGCATTGTCTCAAAACAAAACAAAATTACTGAAGGAATGGAAACGCTTATTTACCCTGATTTGATCACTGCATATGATAAATAAGCACTGAATTACCATAATGTTCCATGAAACTGTTCAAATATCTTGACTTTTAAAGAAAAAATGAAGCAATCTGGTTCAATGCACACGGGAACAAAGGGCATGCTACATCTTCATACCAGATTTAGCTTCTACTCTTACTTATTTAACAAGCATTTATGGGGTACCTCTTATATGAAAAGCATAGTGGGGATAGAGAGCCCAAGCAAAAGGTCCAATCCATCTCAAACAACTGAAGGACCTCACCTTCTAAATACAGAGACAACCATAAATACTAACTACAACATGCTACAGTAAAAGTGTAAGTAAAACAAACTCTATTGCTGAGAAGACTCCTTACTTCTCCCTCTCCCTCTCTCTGTGTATGTACGCGCGCTCTTGGGCACAGAAAGAATCAAGGAGCACATATGCAAAGTTTGGCTTGAGTCAGTAATCTCCAAAAACTTATCTATATACTTCATATCTAATGTATTACTTGTTCCCCTTATCCTAGTATATCACCACATAATGAGTGGTGTTTATAGATTCTCAAAAATGGCTTAAGGACCAGGTGACTTCCCCATCACCTGAGGAACTGATAATGACAACGTGGTACCTATACACAATGTAATTTTATTCAGCTATGAAGAAAAACGAAGGAGCTGAGAGATGGCTTAGCAGTTAAACAGAGTGTACTGCATTTACAGAGGACCCGAGTTTGATTTCCAACACCTATGTCAGGCTGCTTATAACAGCCTGCAAAACCAGCTCCAGAGAATTAGATGACCTCTTGCAGACTCTAAGGGCACCTGCACTCACACCTACTTTGTGTGCATGCACACACAAAGTAAGCCTTTAAAAACAAAAATAAAATTTGTAGAAAAATGAAGCTAGAAATGTTACATTGAATGAGGTCACCCAGGTCCAGAAGTTTGCAATTTTCAGATTTCTGTGTTTAAATTGGGAGCGTCTATACAAACAAGGAAGCTAAAATGGGGGGGGGGGGGGTAGTTAAAGGAAATAAAATAGTGCAAACAGAAAATACTGGAATTAAAAAGGTTTAAATGTGAGTAGAGGAGGGGTGGGGTGGGTTAACATAAGGAGATGGGAAAGATGATGTATATAAAGGCCATATGGAAACCTATGACTTGTAAGCTAATTTAAAAATGGGGTGAGGGGAGGACTTTAATCCCACCACTGGGGAGGCAAAGTAAGGATCTCTGTGAGTTTGAAACCAGACTGGTGTACACAGCAAGTTCCCAGCAAGCCAGGTTAAGGGAGGTATGCTGCATGGGTAGATGATATTGCTTCCCCAAACCACAGGTAAATTAAATAAAGTCCCGATGACAGGTGTGCAATATCTGTCTCCCTATGAGTTATTGGTTGGAGAGAGGCCCTCCAAAACCATACAGAATATTGCTACTGCCCTTGGCTTGGTTGCCCCCCAAAACTAAATATGGCTCTATTGCTGAAAAGACCACACTGGTTTCAGGACATAAAGAAATCAAGTTGACAACTTCATCTTTGCTGGCCAGTTTTCATAGTGCCAGAAGGTGCTATGCAGGATACTGGGGAGTAAACACCAATGGTCTTATCTAACTGTGAACCCTTCAAGCTACCATACCTCCCTGCTAGGCAAGGTGTGCACTGACACAATAACATTACATCTGTTATGGGGATAACCTAGCACTTCCTCATTGAATTTGAGGCTTATTCTAAAGAACAAAATGTATGCCTGGTACTGGAAACCTGGCCAAAACTCACAGCTGATTATAGACCCTACTTCTGTTTTGCTAATTGGACATGGTGTCAAACTGTCTCCTAAATATGCTTATACTGGGGCTGGAGAGATGGCTCAGAGGTTAAGAGCACTGACTGCTCTTCCAGAGGTCCTGAGTTCAACTCCCAGCAACCACATGGTGGCTCACAACCATCTGTAATGAGATCTGGTGCCCTCTTCTGGTCATACATGCTGTATACAAAATAAATAAATAAATCTTCAAAAAAAAATGCTTATACTGACAAATTAGTGCTGCTTTCAGCTGTGGTCAAAGAAGCTTCCATATGCAGTAGGCAACTGTTGATGCAGAGTCTAACTAGTCAGAGTTGAGAACAAGTGATCACTGAGTGCTAACCCTAAAGATAACATCTGTATCACCCCTCCCATGACTCAAGAAACATCATAGAAGGGGTGCAAGTAGGGGGAAAGAGTGCTGTGAAACAAAGGCCATTGCTTTCAGAAGCTCACAGCAGCAGTGGTTGGTTACCTACATAAGACTGGGCCCATTGCCAGGCAGTGGTGGTACATACCTTTAAGCCTAGCACTCGAGAGGCAGAGGGAGGAGGATCTTTGAGTTCAAGGCCAGCTTGGTCTACAGAGTAAGTTCCAGCCAGGACTACACAAAGAAACCCTGTGAAAGAAAGAAAGAAAAGAAAGAAAAGAAAGAAAAGAAAGAAAAGAAAGAAAAGAAAGAAAGAAAGAAAGAAAGAAAGAAAGAAAGAAAGAAAGAAAGAAAGAAAGAAAGAAAGGAAGGAAGGAAGGAAGGAAGGAAGGACCAGGCCCATCAATCAACATTCCAATATGAATAGGAGAGGGACTCAGAAAGCCCCCTCTCCCTGGCTCAGCAGCTAGGAGTACTGGCTGCTCTTCCAGAGGACCTAGGTTTGATTTCAATTCCCAGCACCCATTCACAACTGTCTGTAACTCCAGTACCAGGGGATCCAACACCTTCACAGACTTACATGTAAGCAAAACACCAACGAACATAAAATAAAAATATGGCCGGGCGGTGGTGGCGCACGCCTTTAATCCCAGCACTTGGGAGGCAGAGCCAGGCGGATCTCTGTGAGTTCGAGGCCAGCCTGGGCTACCAAGTGAGTTCCAGGAAAGGCGCAAAGCTACATAGAGAAACCCTGTCTCGAAAAACCAAAAAAAAAACAAAAAAAAAAAAAACAAAAATATGGGCATTATCAACACTAATAACCCTTCAGGGATAGCCTGAACCATTAATCTTATATCCTGCCCTTCTTTTTTTGTTTGTTTTGTTTTTCGAGACAGGGTTTCTCTGTGTAGCTCTGGCCATCCTGGAACTCTCTCTCTGTAGACCAGGCTGGCCTCAAACTCAAGAGATTCTCCTGCCTCTGCTTCCCAAGTGTCTGCACTTCTTTTGAATAACACACTTAAAAAGTTTATAGAGTGAAAACTTTGTACCCAAATGTCAACATAATAATGGCATCCACTTTTATTTAAAAAGGGAGGGGGCACTTGGGAGACTGGAGAGATGGCTCAGATGTTAAGAGAACTTATTGCTCTTGGAGAGGACCCAGGTTTAATTTCCAGTACTCATGGTGGTTCACAACTGTATATAACTCCAATTCCAGAGGATTCAATACCCTCTTCTGACCTCCACAGGCACAAGCATGAATGTGGTATACATGCATACAAGCAAAACACACATAAAATAAAATGAATTAATCTAAAAAAAATAAATAAATTTTTAAAGGGCATTTAGCCTGGAAAATATGAACCTTGGGAGACCAGGTGAGAGCTAATAAGATCAGAACAGATACATGAACAGCATGCACTGTTTCTGAATCCCAACTGAGGGTTTAAGTAGTCAACCATCCTTAGACACTTAACTGAGATCTTTCATGTAAAATCAAAATACTGCTGAGCTACATTACAGCAGTTGCTTCCACACATATGGATTGAGTTTACATCCCTGGCATGGCAAAATAATATTCATAGTGTAAAAATGTGACATGAGGGACAAACATTTTAAACTCAGCCATTTATTTATTTACTGCTGTCTAGTGCAAACACTTAACAAAGGGATTAACCTTCTGGTGTCTGTGACAAATAAAAATACAGCCATGGGAAAAACATGAATGGAAAGGGAGACTAAGTCATGGATTGATTCATAAAGTTCTTATGTTATAACCCTAAACACTAAGGAAAATTAGTAAACATACATAACCTTACACTTCAAATGGAATATGGTGACCCACAAAAATAAAGTTAATTCCCAAGGATGTTAAAAATGGTTGCTAAGAATATGCTTGCTTGGACAGGCAGTGGTGGTACATGCCTTTAATCCCAGCACTCTAGAGACAAAAACAGGCAGATCTCTGTAAGCTCAAAGGCAACCTGGTCTACAAAGCGAATGTCAGGACAGTGAGGACTGTTACAGAGACCCTGTCTCCAAAAAAAAAAAAAAAAAGCCGGCTTGATCACAAAAGCAAGCTGGGTAGGACAAGAGGGTTTCTTGTGGTCTGTGGGTATGCAGGTATATGTGTCCTTTGTGTGTAAAAAAATGACAAGATAAAATGAGGTAAAGTTCCACCTGGTAGTATATCATACTATAAGCTTGTGTTAAACTACTCAAAAAGTACACAAGTTAACTGTTGGAAATTCTGTATTAGGTAAAATTAACATTAGTTTACAATTATATATAGATCATTTTACAATTTACAAAGCTTTTAAATATACAACCATTTTGATGCCCTATACTATTTAATTTTTGTGCCCCCCATTTCCCCTCCATCAAGGACACAGTTAAGAACACTTAATTAGGAAAGCTAATATAATTACATCAATTGGTATGGTACCACAAAGAATCAGAGGCAAGAAGACAGAATTTTAAAGGAAGGATAAAATGATACCAAACACGAGCAAAGTGGGGTGCGGGGGAGAGACACTGTGGACAGGCTATACTCACTACTAGAAAGAACACACAGCATGTGCTCCCTGCTCTAAAACAACAGGAAACAATGATAACTGAAGAGATAGGGTTAGCTTTGTGACTTCTCACACAAGTAGTTGACCACCAAGTGTGGTTTATGAATGAAATGAGTTCCAAATGCATGTGGTTTTATGGAAGGCTTGCATGTTAGAGATTCACCAAAGGTCATTTGGGGATCGGCAACTTTACATAATGGTGGCATCCCAAGGAACATCTATTCCATCAACCAAATTTAATATCTTACAATCTTGGAAAAGGAGTTTCCGTGCAGGGACGAGCACTACCGATGGAAAGCCGATACCTGGGCCATCTCTTGGTGATTCCTGCCGTAAGGACTGCAAGTGTTTCTCCAGAGAAAGCACTTGCCTGGGTATGACTCAGGGCTGGGCAGGAATTCACACAATGAATCCGGGTGGTGGGAAGGCGGAGAAGTATGCCTATAAAGATCAAAGAGCCAGGAATGGAAAACACACTAAAAAAACCTCCCCAAGAAGTAAACTGCCTCCCCACAGGTAAGAAAATTTCTTAAATCCAACATGAAATCAAAAAGGTTAAAAAAAAAAGAAAAGAAAAGAAATGCCCTAGGTGCCACCAAAAAGAAAAAAATAGGTGGGGGAAGTTTAACTATAGACATAAATGCACAAGAGTGCATGCAAGATCAAAGACAGCCCCCCCCCCCCAAAAAAAAAAAAAAAAAAACAGGGAGGGGGAAAAAAAGAACAAAGCTCACATCAAGGAGATTGCCAACAATCCTGTCCCTCCCTTCCCCCACCCCACCCCCACAGGTATTTCTCAATAGCACTACAGATTGCCTAATCCCAGGCATCCTCAAAACAACAAAGAAACATGATTTAAGGATTTAGCCCACCTAGTATGGGATGTCTTGAGCCTTCTGCTACATAGGGTATGGTTGCTTAGGATTACCATCTAGGTAATGCACTATAATGTGTAATACCCACAGTGAGTCACGACTTTAAATGAAGTCTCTCGATTCTGCCTGTCTGGAGATGAGTTTGAAGATCTTAAAAAGCAAGAAAGTACTCAACAAGAGAGATTTCAGTCTTTCTTTTAAATATGTGTTTCTTTCTTGGGAAAACCTCAGATACAGGGCACAAAAGATCAGAACAGAGTGTTTGGCGAGGGGTTGGGAAGATCCTTAAGACTCTCATTAAAAAAAAAAAAAAGAAAGAAAGAAAATGAAAAGGTGAGAACTTAGCTAAAGCTCAACCAAGTTTCTCTTTGCTAACAGGAAACAGATGTCCCACAAAAGCAAGAGACATGACCTGGGGAAGAGTAGAAGGTCTCCTGATAACACAAAGGAACCCTAAATTAACCCCCGAGAGGAAAGGACCTCAAAGATAGAGGGCTGAGACCTAAAACCTGAGCATACTCCACTGACCATCTCAAACACCTACTCAGAAACAAGGAAGACATCTAATGGGTAAATTGAGCAACAGGAGGGTCCTTACCCAGTGAAACCACGTTTCCATAATTCTCTAACATCACTTCTCTGTAGAGCTCCCTCTGAACAGGGTCCAGGCATCCCCATTCCTCTCGAGTAAGATGCACAGCCACATCCTCGAATGTCACAAACTCCTGAAATAATAATTCTGGCTGCTTTCAGGAATGGGCTACTATAGCACCATGGCCAGCGAATGATGAACATGACACAAAGGGCATCTAGTGGCTATTTCTGTTGTGGAGGAGGGAGAACAGACTAGAACCTAGAAAATAAATCCCTTAAGTGCCCATATCACAGTGTCATGGACAAAGGTGGTGGTGGGGAGACAGAAAAATCTGTGTCAAATCCAGGTCTCTGAAGAGGATCTGTTCCCAAACTGCTACTGAAAAGACTCCAGGCAAGTTTAACAAATGGGATAAAAGAGAAGCCACACTCAATCAGCAACAAGAAACCCTGAGGAAAAGCAGAGGGTCCCTCAGCTCACCTGGTACCTGGCTGTCAGGAGCGCAGCTGCCTGGTCTCCTGGGCTTCCCTCATGGGGAAGAGCAGGCACCTGGGGAACAGGTGGAGCTGAGGGAGGAGAAAGGAGCCAAGGGTGAGAGCAGCCCTTCCACAGGGCTCCCTTTTCAGAAGATACTTCCCCTGCCCGAGGTGTGGGTGGCATCCTCCTTCACATCACCATTGTAGTAAAGCCAACAAACATTTACCAGGTTTCAGGTATATCCACTCCTCCTTGGTAGCTGTTCCTACTTACATATGTTTAGGACTGTGATATGCATTTTACTAGGAATCTCACTTTTTCCTCGACATAACATTCCTCCCAAGGAAGGCTAAGCATTACACCTGTGGGTCGATGAGCAAAGCAAAGCATAAAGACAAATAGTGTTTCCTGGCCAGCCTGGTCTACGAGTGAAAAACGTGGTCTCAAAAAAACAGAAGCAGCAGCAAAGAGAATGCTGAAGACATAGCTCAGGGGGTGGAGTGCTTGCTTGGCATGCATGAGGCTCTGGGTTCGATCCCCAGCACCATGTACTGGGTATGGTGGCCCATAACTGCAATCTCAGCACCTGGAAAGTGGATGTACAAGAATCACAAGTTCAAAGTCATCAAGTTCATAGGAAGTTCAATACCAACTTGCACTACATAAGACTGTCTCAAAAAGAGTTGAAGGGGACAAGGTGTGGTGGCACAAGCCATTAATCCCAGGACTCAGGAGGCAGAAGCAGCAGGATTTCTGTGAGTTCAAAGCCAGACTGGTCTACATAGTGAGTTCCAGGACAGGCACGGCTATGTAGAGACAGCCTATCTCAAAACAACAAAAAAGTTGAAGGACTTGAAGTGATTTATCCAGGGTCAGGGTTTTAGCAAACTTCTGATATTTTCCCAGATACCATTTACTATAAACTCCATTATGCCTTTTGGTTGTTGGTGTTGTTATTGGGCACTGTTCTCTGCAACCACTGTATGAGGCTTTCAAGAACAAGGAATAGTCATGTTTCTTCATAATCCTTTACACCCTCCAACAATGCCCCCACATCACCCTCCACTTAATGGTACTCCATCTGTGCTGCTAACACACAAGTGACTTCAGGCACTCACATTGGTCACAGAAATCTAAGATATAGTTATTACATAATGAAATCAGCAGCTAAGTATAGTAAAGAATGCCTACAATTCTAGGAGTTGGGAGGCTGAGACAAAATTCATCCAAATCGTGGGCTGGATAGTACTAGGCCAGTCAGGGCTACACAACAAACCTTGTCGGGGGAGGTGGGGGAGGACCGCCAAACCTACCTATCTAATACACGTATGTGAATGTACAGTTAATTTGTAACATCTGTGCATTTAAATAGATACTGTGCTCAAGCGAGAGATTAAATGGTTGCTTTCTTGACCAAAATTAGATTATTCACAAACTGCAGTTGCAACAGAATGGCAGGTAGCAAAGCTCACTAAGTCACAGGAAAGGAGACACAAAGTGAAGGGCACAGAGGGAGGGAAAGGTTCTTTCTGAGTCTACGAGGAAGCAAAAAGCAGGTAAGGCTAGTGAGATGTGGCAAAAGCAGCCTGTCTTAAAAACTGGTCGGGCTGTAGTGACAGGAATGAAGCCCACATTTTCGAAAGGACAAACAGCTAGGGCAGGACGGAAGACTAGCCATCCTTAACAGAGGGGTCCAACCCAGGAAGGAATGCCATCTGTCCCTCCGTCCAGTTCTTCCTCTCAAGGCCTCTCTCATACCAGGCCCAAGAGTTCCTTAATACTCCCATTCTCCTGAAAGTAAGTGTTGTCTCTGCCTTACCCCCAGGGAATCCCTGCTCCATCTCCGTGTCCTGCAGAAACTGAAGCTCTGGGGAAAGACATTCAGATTGGCTCTCCAAAGGCTGAAACTGGACCCTTGGTGATCCTGCTGCCTCGTGGGATATTTCCTCCATCCCTGTTCAAGAGGACAATGACCATCACTGCAGGGTGAGATTAGGAGAAATTACTTAATAAACTAAAATGTCCCACCATCACTTCACAGTCTTAGTACTTAGCAAACTATTTTATATATGGGTAGATAGTTAAGAAAAATTAGTTTAAAATCAATTTAAGACCAGCCTGGTCTACAGAGCGAGTTCCAGGACAGTCAGGGCTACACAGAGAGACCATGTCTCAAAAAACAAACAAACAACAACAAAAAAAAGGGTACTCGATTCCAGGTGTCACTGTCCACAAAGCTAAGTTTCTCTAAATGCAATTAATTAAAGTGCATGGTAATTTGGGTCCAAAAAGGGAAAAAAAAAAAAAAAAAGGTCATTAACAGTTACCAAAATAAACAGCAAAAGGGAAAAAAATGGGAGCTGAGGATGCATACAACTCAAGGTATGAGTACTTCCTGGTATGCACAAAGCCCTGACTTCAATCCCTAACACCCCCTCCCCGCCACAAAAAACAAAGGGTACCCATTCAGTTTCAAAACTTAACATCCAAATTGTACGGTCTAAGAATTCGGTACTATTCAGACTCTACTGTAAATCCCCAATCTGTGGTATTAAAATATATATCTCGCTGGGCCTGTAATCCCAGCTCTTGGAAAATGTAGGCAGGAGCTCTTGTTCAGGAGTTCAAATCTAGACTCCTCAAGGCTGTCTCAAAAACAAAACAAACAAAAAACAGTAGATAGCCTTTAAAAAAAAAAGAAAGAAAGAAAAGAAAATCAACCAGTACAATAGCTTAAATCGTTCCATAAGGCGTCCTAAGAATTTAGAGGTTCAAGTTTAGAGCCAGAGAAACACGCCAGTTAAGATTACTCATTGTTTTTCTCAAAAGCTTCGGAATTATGTGGTAACCGGTCAGGCCCTTCTGCATTACTCAACGGGCCCGATGAAGAATGACACAACTCACTTTGGAGACGGACCCTTAGGGCAGGCTGGTCGGACCGCCAGGGTGCAGCACGAGGAAGAGCTGCGATGTGCCTGATGTCCTTCAGAGCCAAGGACGTGCAGGGTTCCGTCCACCTTCCACCACCCTCCGTGACGCTCCCGGCCTGTTCGCGGGCCTCGCCCAGAGCCGCTCTCCATCCACTTCCCTTTTAGGGGACGCTTTCGGTCCCCAGAGGGCGAAGCGGGCCCACACACAAACCTACCTACCGCCGGGGCCCGGCCGCTGGGTTCGCCACCACGAGGCCACCACGGAGCCACCCCGGCTCCCCGGGTTTCGCGACGAACCCAGGCTAAGGAGAAAACAGGGCCGCGCGAGCTCGGCCCTCCGCGCGCCCGGGCTCCGGGAACAGCAGCCCGGAACGCGGCGCCTCCTGCGCGTCTGCGGCAGGCCAAACAAGCGGCCGCTCCCACGGCGACGCGACAACGGTTCCGGGGGACTCACCCAGGGGGAGAGGCGGGCCCAGCGACTGTCCCGTCACGGAGACTCTCCTCACTGAGCAGCGCCAGCCTTTCCGGGGCCACTCTCCACGGCCCCGAGGCTGGCGTTCTGCGTCACTTCCGCTGGCGGAAGTGCACAGGAGGGCGGCTCCCGATGAGGTTCCCGGATGAAGAGCCGAGCCCAGGGCTTCTGGTATGGGGCCCGCGGGATCGTTAGACGAGGCCTTGGTTACTTTTTTTGCTTGGTTTTTCCGAGGCCTCCCGAGGTCTCACGACCCTCCCTGTTGATTGGGGTGCATCTTACATCAGTAAGGAGGGCGACAGATGTTGGAAAAGAGACCCCGGACTCGTCCCTGTCACTAGCCGCAGGGAGAGTGCACAGGATTCTGGGCAAAACGTGGAATAACACTCATGCGGCCTCCTTCAACCCTCACAACCCTTATGCCCAAAACTGGTTTGGGTGGGCCTTGTTTCTGCTAGGAATTCTACAAAATTGCCCACAGAAGGGGACTCCCACAGAGCTGGGGCTTCCTCCCGGACTGGGCACCAACCACACCCAAACACATGCTTTCACAGAGAGATCTTTTATTAAGCGGGGGAAGAAAAGTTAAAGTGGCTGCTTTCTGACTCAGGCAGAAAATAGCAGCAAATGATCTTGCGGGTGTCATTTTGAAAAGGAGGAAAAGAGGAAGTCTGTGTTAGGATGGGCTAGGATGTGATGGTAAAGGAGATAGGAGGTGAGGGGGAAGGGGAAGGGTAGAGGGGTATTTGTCCCTGAGGGACCAAGAACTGCCTCTGGATAGAGGGCAAAGAGACGAGGCCCATAGACAAACGGTGATTTATAAAGGTAAGAGGGGGAAACCCTGTGTTAGGATGAGGTGTTTAATTTTAATTGGGCGTGTTAATTAAGCATCCAAAGGGGGCTTCTGATTGCTGGACTTTAATACTTTGACAGCTGGACCTTGGTAGTCAACCTCAGGAGGAGGAAGTGGCCAAATAAGGCAATAGACCTTGGTGTCTAGCTTTAGGAATGTGACCTAATGGTTTTCAGAAAGGCAGAGGGAATGGGGGAGAAGGGCAAGGCCTGCCAGAGCCATGCTCGAGTGGGCTAGTGTCCCGTCACTAGGTGTTGCCCCCCTGGGAAAGAGCGAACGCATTTTTCCCAAAAGGATTCACCCGAGGTCACCAAGATTTCCCTGCCAGGCTGTGCTCTGAGATTCCCAACCCTTCTCCTCCTTTGCTTCCCTGCCACCATGAAGTGAGCAACTTCCTCATGTAAGCTCTCTGCTGCTGTGGGCTGCCTCACTATAAGCACAAAAGGAACAGATTTAACTGAGGATTGTCTGAAGCTGTGAGACATAAATGAACCTCCATTCAAAGTCAATTATCTCAAATATTTTTGCCATAGTAGGTGCAAGGCTAAGACTGCCATAATTTTATTATGGTGTCCCTGGAAAGAAACCAGTGACGCCCAGAATCTTGTAATTTATAATCTTATAACTACCTAGTATTTGTGTAGTACTGCTACATAAATCAAGTATTTAAAAATACTGCACAGGGAGCCAGTGCAGTAGAGGCGCATGCCTTTAATCCCAGCACTTGGTAGGCAGAGCCAAGTGGGTCTCTGGGAATTCAAGGCCAGCCTGGTCTACAGAGCGAGATCCAGGACAGGCTCCAAAACTACACAGAGAAACCCTGTCTTGGGGGGAAAAAAAAAAACTGTACAGGGGCTGAAGGGATTGCTCGGTCTTTAAGAACATGTTGCTCTTGCAGAGGACAAAGGTTTAGTTAGTTCCCAGAACCCAGACTATGGCTAACAACCCTCTGTCACTCCACTTCCAGAGGAGGATTTGATGCCCTCTGACTACTAGGAGCACTGCATACCCTTGATGCTCAGATATTCATGCAGGCAAAACATTGGAGGCAGAGGCAGGCAGATCTCTGAGTTTGAGGCCAGCCTAGTCTACAGCGTGAGTTCCAGGACAGCCAGGACACAGAGAAACCCTGTCTTCAAAAAGACCAAAACAAACAAGCAAACAAAAAAAAGCACTTAAAATAAAAATAAGTCCTCTTCAGCCTGGAGAAATGGCTGAGCAATCAAAAACCCTAACTTCTAAAAAAGAAGACCAGAGAGCTCAGTTCCCAGCACCCATGTTAGCTCACAACTACCTGTAACTCCAGATCCAGAAGATCAAATGTTCTCTTCTGGCCTCTCTGGGCACACACACACACACACACACACACACACACACACACACACACACACAGAGTAAATAAATATATAGATAGATAGACACACACACAGAGTAAATAGATAGATAGATAGATAGATAGATAGATAGATAGATAGGTAGATAGATAGATAGATAGATAAATCTTAAAAAAAAAAATACTGCCCACAGTGTGAGCTCCACCTGAAAACCTAGCACTCAGAGGCAGGGGCAGGTGAATCTTTAGTTCCCAGCCTAGTGAGTTCCAGGCTATACAGAACTATGTAGTAAGACTCTGCTCAAAAACAACAACAACAAAAAAAACCTAAAAACAACAAAGAAGAAGAAGAAGAAGAAGAAGAGAAAGAGGAAGAAAGAAGAGGAGAAAGAAAGAAACCAGGCCTCAGAGCTCATAATAGGATTTTTAAAAAGTGAGTGCATGCGGGATTGAGGATTTAACTCAGTGGTAGAGCGATTGCCTAGCAAGCAGAAGGCCCTGGGTTCAGTCCTCAGCTCTGGGGGAAAAAAAAGTGAGTGTATGCATGTGTGCATGTTCATGGGGAGCTTTACATGTGTCATGTCTATGCAGGTATGAGTATATGTGAGTATATATATATATATATATGAGTATATATATATATATATATATATATATATATATATATTGTGTGTGTGTGTGTGTGTGTGTGTGTGTGTGTGTGTGTGTGTGTGTGTGTGAGGATGACATGGACATTATTCCTCAGGCACTATCCACATTTTTTAAGGTAGATATCGCTGCCCTGAAGCTCACCAATTATGGTAGTCTAACAGCAAGCCTCAAGGATCCTCCTGTTTCTGCCTCTCCAGTACTGAGATGATGTATCACCTGACTGGGATGACACATCACCTGGCTGGGATGACAAATATCACCTGGCTTGCTTTCTTTTTCTTTTTCTTTTTTTTTTTTTTTTTTTTGAGACAGTATCTATGTAGCCCTGGCTGTCCTAGAACTCACAGATCTCTCTGCCTCTGCCTCATAAGTGCTGGAATCAAAAGTGTGGCCTACCACACACAGTGAGGCTTTTGTTTTTAATGTGGGTTTTGGAGATTGAAGTTCGGTCAGTATGTTCTTGCAAAGCCTTTATCAACTGGACCATCACCCCAGCTGTCACTCTGTCACTCTTGGTTTCATCTCAAACCCTTTCCCCTCCTCACTGCTGCTTTGCTTCTTAATATCAGCTTGTCTGGGCATCTCCCCCCTTTTCTGATTCCAGGAAGTAAGCCTTTTCTTGGAGACAGTCTCACCATGTAGTAAGTAGCCCAGGCTCTCTGGAACTCACTGGATAGCCCATACTGGCCTTTACTCAAGATCTTTCTTCTCTGCTTCCCCAGTGCTAGTTTTATAGGTGTGCAAGGAAGTGAGTCTTAATGCTGGCCTTGATACCACCTCCCTAGTCACCAGGTTTATTGGGGTATGGGCATGTGTCATAATCCTAGCTCATGAGACATGGAGGTGATCCACTGGGATATGTTTATAGGATTTTCCCTTGCTCTCAGAAAGCATGAGGAACGGGAGTGACTTTGGGGTTTTTGGTTTGGATTTTTGAGACAGGGTTTCTCTGTGTAGCCATGGCTGTCCTGGAACTTGCTCTGTTGACCAGGCTGGTCTCCAGCTCACAGAGATCCACCTGCTTTTGCCTCCCGAGTGCTGGGATTAAAGACGTGCACCACCACTGCCCGGCAACATCGTGTTTTTAAACTCCTAAATGTCTTTGGAATGACGAGGCAGGCAGCCAGGGTAGCCGTGCTTCAAGCCATGGGCAGCATCTGTAGCAAAAGCAGGTGGCTGTGTACCACTGACAGGCAGCAAAAATGACACACCTAGCTGGAGTCTGCGGCAGTTCCAGCACTTGGGCAGCTGAGGCATGAGAGATGCCACAAGTCTGAGTCAACTTGGGGTCCATAGTGAATCCTAGGCCAGCCTGGGTTGTAGTGAAACCCTGTGTCAAAGAGAAAAGGGAGTTTAAGCAAGATGGCTCAGCATGAGAGAGGCACTTGCACACACACCTGAGCCGATGACCAACCAGATTGTGTGAGGAAAGGACTGTTTTTTGTTTTATTTTTATTTATTTATTTATTTTGGGTTTTTCAAGACTGGGTTTCTCTGTGTAACCCTCGCTGCCCTGGAGCCTCTGTACACCAGGCTGGTCCCGAACTCAGAGATCTGCCTGCCTCTGCCTCCCAAGTACTGGGATTAAAGGCATGTGTAGTCACTGCCTGGCTGAGAAGTGACTCTTGAGATTCAATATAAAAATAGATGGGCCAGGCATGGTGGTGCATGCCTTTAATCCCTGCACTCCAGAGGTCTACCTAGAGAGTTCCAGGCCAGCCACGGCTACATAGTGAGAGCCTGTGTAAAAATAAGTAGATAAATAAATAACACTAGAGATATTTTAATTTATATGCCTGGGTCTGGGGAGGGGGTATGTGTATGTGAGCACAGGTGCCCAGGGAAGCCAGAAGAAGGTGACAAGATCTCCTGAAGCTGGATTTACTACAGTTGTGAGCTACCTCACATGGGTGTGAGGAGCTGAACTCAGATCCGTGATAAGACTCCGATGCACTCTTAACCACTGAGCCATCTCTCTAGCCCTGGACAGCAAAGTAACTAAGGCAGGTTCTTTTTTTTCTTAACGTAATTTCTTTATTGGATCTTTGGGAATTTCACATCACGCACCCCAATTCTGTTCATTTCCCAGTTCCTCCATACTGCCCTTCACCTTACAGCATCCCCCTCCCTAAAAGAAAA